AATTTAGGAAAGTTAAAAACTGCTTCAGCAAAACGACTCAAGTTCTGCTCCACTTATCTGCACTGGCTGTTGCTGCCTTTTGGATGTTTGAGCTTCGTTTGAGCATTTTCACACAAAGGCTGTTTTCTAATTCATCTGCTGAAAAGTTCCTATAAATTAGTTGTTATGTGTCTTATTAAGTGTGTACCTGTGAGCAGGATGTGTGGCATCAAAACTACACTGAGAACTGACTTGCAGTAGTTGGTTCTGAAATTAATATTTGCATGTTTTATTTATTGTGGATTTAGGTGAAGGTGTAAACACTGTAATTTCCAACGAGGTACATTTTAAATAAATTAATAAATATGAAAACCTCAGATTTGGCTGATAGGTACAGTCCGACATGTCTGGATGAGATTCTTTTTTTTGTTTGTTTTGGATGAAGTAATATAAATAATAGACAATGAAATGCTGCAGCAAAAAAAACTACTGCTTAAATAATAATAATAAAAAAAATGAGAACAACTTGATAAAGCTAGAGTCAGAAGAAAAGAACTGTCAATTAACATGAACAAGGGAAATGATATAAAAACTTAAAAGTAATAACAAAAAAACAATCTGAACAAAACTTGAAGAGGAAAAAAACTCCCCCAAGTTATGTTAAAACGTAGAAACCAAACTAAAACTTAATCAACATCCAAATTAATCGCCAACTGTGTTGATGATTTTATAAAATGTTTTTTGTGGGTTTTTGAGAAAAAAGGCTAAATTCTCCAAATCCAGCTCCTTAAATGTGAATACAACTGAATTTCTTATTTGGGGAAACATTGATCGACACTTTCCACCATTTTTCTTACATGTATGGACTGAACTAGTCCAGAAAACAATCGACGGATGAATCTTCCTTTTATTCTGATCCATCACATCCCACCTTCACCTGCCTGTATCTGAAACACACCAGCATTATTTCATGTTTGAACAGCAGCGTTCAGTTGTAGAACTGAGAAATAAAACATCACCACCAGCAGAGTTTTTTTTTTTTTTGGTACATTGACTGTTTTTTTTAATTTTTTTTATTCCAAACGTGTGTCTATATATTGAACATCAGAGGGCGACACCCCTCCTACAGTCACCCCACACGTCAATATCAATAATAATAATGATAACAATAGAATCTTCAGAATAATATCCATCTGTCGGCTCTGTCCTGCTGATCGGCTGAGCACTGCTGCTACAAAGAAACGTGATGAAACGCACAACAGGACACACACTGGTATGGCTATATTTGTGAGGACATTCACTGATCTACTGAGTCCCCCTTATGTTAAACTTAAACAGGCTTAAAGGACCCCACAAAGTGTCCAAACCTCCAAATTGGTCCTCACAGATATACACATACAAATACACACATTGACGTTTTCCTTTCACGTTCCCCTTTTGGCTGCTGCTGCCTCCATTTTCTGAACAATTTCAATGCAAAACATATAACAAAAAAAACCCCCAAAAACAACATGAAGCCACAGGCGCTGCTCGTCAAAACAATGTTTCATCTGCTCCCATGACAACCAGGCGACCGTAAAGCGATCACATCCCCTAATCGGTTTCAGTTACCACGAAAGAGAGGAAATAAAGTGAACACACAGAGCAGTACTCAGGTTGGACGCGCCGACAAGAAGGAAAGTACAATCACAAGTTTTTTTTCTTTTCCACGTTGCCCTCCACGTTTACAGGAAAGTGTGTGTGTGTGTGTGTGTGTGTACAGTATGTCTGCGCTCCACTGACCGACTAAAAACAGCTGTAACACTCACCTGAAACATACACAGCCGTACTGAGGTAGTTCTTCACTTTTGTCAGGGTGTGTGAAGATTATTGTTTTGGTTGGTTTCCAAGTTTTGGGGCCACAGTCTCACCTCAAACGTCCCCGCTCTGTACTTTCTGAAGGTTCAGGAACTGTTGGGCTGCTTGGTCGATGGTTTTTTACAGCACTGCTTCTCTCTTTCTTTGTTAAAACAAACGCAGCTGCTTGCAATTTGTTTTTAAAAGCAATTTTAGCTAGCTGATGTTAGCACACGGCTAAACCACTTTACAAATCAGTAACGCTTTTTCTGTAAAATGAATTTTGCACACTGGACTTTATCCTCTGATATTCTAGTAGATTCTGGCAAAGGTTATTATGCTTCACAGAAGACTTCATCATGGTACCCCTTTGCTCCCAAAACCCCCACAATGCTCTCTGTTTACCAACACAAAACTGCCCAACTCCTCCAGTTGCTACCGTGTTAAACAGCAAATGGCTCCATCTGGTGGTGTAACCAGGTACTACAGTCCATCTACACAACCTGAAGTGTGTAATATTTAGGAGAATGAACTCGGTATTTGCAGATACTAAATAATGTGCTGGACTGTCAATCCAGGCTCATCACGATACATGAGTGGACTAAGTTTTATTTCCACAACAGAAGCAAAATGTGTAGATAAGATTCTCCTCATGGCACCTCAGTGGCAGTCAATGGTGAAACACTGGCTGTCAGCTATAGGGTGGTGCCAAATGTCCTGGCTGGATACCACAACAGGTGAGCAGCACAAAGTCAGTTGTCGGATGGATGTTGAGAAACCCAGTTTGACTTTTATATCCATTTAATGTAAGTATTGCCTACCAGCAGGTTATGATTTGGCCTGTTTTCGGGGAAAAAGAACAAAACGCAATCCTGTAAGAGTGAAATTTGTCATGCAACGTGACTGAATGAAAGGAATTTACTGACTTGTTCTTCACGTTTTTACAAGTGTGTACAGCAGCTTGGTATCAACTAACACTAATAATACTAATAAAAAGTAGCCTCCATAGACATTCAGAGATGGTGGAAACCTTAAGAGGGATTTGGAACCAATAAACAAGGACTGGTTGGGTAACCAAACCTCGGCCAGTGTTCACATCTGTTTACTTCTCTCCTGCTGTCTGTGTTCAAATATTCTGCATTTGAGTACAGCTGAATTCCCAATAAAGCTGTTCTCATTTGTATATTCTCCTGCTATCAGACCGAGTATGAAACAGTGAGTGACTACATGTTACCCAGCAGTCATTTGAGTTATTTCCAAGCTGCTGGTTTGCAGATATAAAATACTGACAATCTCGTTAAACACATAAATTAAAACAATAGCCATGGGGTAAATCCAGAGATGATTTAGAAAGTTAGAAATGACAAAATCCTTGCGTCAAGCACTCATTAACGTCTGTTTGCTGCCATTCAGAGAGACTTCTTCCTGAAGCAGAAGCTCAGCTGCATTTAAAGCTACAGACACTGAAACAGCTTGCTTAGATTATGAATCCATGACATGATGAGAAACATGAGTGAAGATCTCAGGTTTTCATCTTTAATAGTTTCTGAGCTGTCGTCACTCAAACAGTCTCAAATTTACATGTGAAACTGGGGTTATTTTGGTTTGTTTTATTCCAGAAAGTATTTAATACTTGAGGCTAAAATGTCACAGACAGCGTTTTAAATATCCAGAGTTTAGGATGTAAAGGTTTAAAGCGAACCGTCGATGGTCGAGGAGATGATTCGAGGTGGAATAAACCAACCAAAAAAGACTGAAGTGAAGTCTCTCCTCTGAATAACCGTCTGTTTTTAAGACTAAAACCAGGAGTTATACAGTCACAGTGGAATGAACCATTTTTGTGGTTTTGGAACATGTTAGTGGTCTTAAAAAGTGTCCCCCTTCACAGGAACATCTGCTTTGAATCCACGTGTTGCCTTTTTGTTTCCTTTTTCTTTTGCTGCCGTACTGTTCAGATAATAAAACATTTCCCCCAAAATAGAAATTATTCTGAAAATATCTTATTATTTCATGCACTTGTGTCATTGTTGGACCGCAGGATGCCACATGAGTGTGAGTAGCTGACGGTGAGTCTTTCAACTACTGACAAAGTGCCACAAACTGCCACTGTGGTGCCACTTGGTGGATCCTGGATTCTCCCTGACAAGGAAAAACATGTCCAGGAGTTCCTAAAAGTGTTGGTGAAAAAACATACAATATTTACTGTTTTGGTGTCTGTGGTGAGTTTGGGTCTGTCTGAAGGTTGTCACTGTTCAATCTACAGAACCAGACATTAAAATCACAGTTTGTGGGTTTAACAGGAATGAGGCTGGTAGTTTGTAGTACTGATTGGTTGTAAAACAAAGTCCTTCTGATGGGTTCATATGAAAAAGAATCTGCCTTTTATGCTAAGCTAGGAACTGACTCTAGCTCTTTTTCCAAAACGGTGAACCATTCCTTAAAGAACAAGAGAAATGAAAGAACAAGAAAATGCTGGATTGACTGGCTGCTGTGTAATCAGACACCAAAAAGAAAAGAAAAAGATCCCCAAACTTTAACCACCTTTTTCAGATTGAAATGATGAACTCTCTTTTCTCATTCCTTGAATTTCATATATTTTACACCTCATTGTTCATTTTTCTTTATTCGATGAACTGCACGTCACACAGTAAAGAACTACCTCAGCACAGCGCTGCAAGCTTCAGTTGAGTTGAGATGTTTGTCTGTGGATCACAGCACCAGTCAGGAGTCTGTACAAACAGCAACAGTGTCATAAAGAGCTACATCCTCCACAGACGTCCAAATGAGTGACAAAGACCATGATAACTGTACAGCTGCTCTGCGACCACGTCTCCTTCTGCACAAACACCTGCTTCAGTGTTCGGACAGACTCGGTCCGTGGGCGAAGAGCGTGATGAACCAGACCGCAGGGTGTTTGTCCGTCCTCTGCGGCGCTGCGGAACACCTCAGCTGGTTTAATCCAAATGTAAAGTTTGTTTAATGCTAACAGGTCAGAGCGGTTTCGAGCGCCCACCCCTGTTGAAGGTCACTGGTACGATCCACTGATCCAAAGTGGCTTCGACCCAGCAAACGGGTCCAAATGGTTTCCTCCGTCCACCCCTGCCGAGTCTGGTTTGGACTGATCCAAAGTTCTGAGGGTTTGAATTCATGACCTTTGACCCCCTCCAGCAACAGCGTCCTTCCGCTCAGTCGTGCCCCCCGAGTAAGTCCGTCGGCGGGTGTGTCGGTGTCTTGGTGGGGGGCACCGGTCTGGGCGGTGGCGCCGGTTTGTTTTTGGCTCGCCTCGGGCTTGCCGTCCCCCCGTCGCTGTCGGCTCTGTCTGTTGAGACCGGGGGAGGCGGCGGCGGGAGGCGGGGCAGCGACATGGAGCCGTGGTGGTAGTGGAGGTGGTGGTGGGGGTTGTGGCGGTGCTGGTGGTGGCCCGGCGCCGCCACAGAGGGGGGGATGCGGGAGCAGGAGGAGGCGGAGGAGGATGAGGATGGGGGAGGCGGTGGGGGAGGAGTGAGCGTGACCGGCCGCAGGCTCTGAATCCGCCGGCACTCCTGGCAGATCCGCACGTGGCTGCAGCTCTGCAGGAAGCTGCGCGGCGGAGCGGGCGGAGCCACCAGCGCTGATGCAGGAGGGGGCGTGCTGGTGGTGGCGTTGACACCCAGTGGGTCCTCCAGGAGCCTCTGCGGCCCTGGGCCCAAATCGGGGCATCCCCCGAGCCCCGCCAACCCGCCCGTGAGCGGCCCGGCGCCGCTGTACAGTTTGCCGTTGCTGAGTCGCATCTCTCGGACCAGGCGGATGGGGCGAGGGCCGGCCAGGGCCAGGCGGGACGGGTGACGGAGAACTCCACCCCCAGCACTGCTCAGGGGCCGCCGGCGACGAGAGCGGGAACTCTTCTTACAAGAGACGGCGTTACGGAACTCCGTCAGCATCTCCTGACAGACGGACACCTGAGATGGACAGACAGAAACATGCTGAAGTCCAGAAGACTCGGTCTGAGGCTGTAGCAGCTGTAAGAAAACATGGCTGCTGCAGACACACAGCTGCAGTCACTGCACCGCAAAATGCACATTTGTCAAATCATCCCAAAGTTCACACAGTTGTTCACATGGGACAGTTTTATCTCCACAACATGATTAAAACAGGCGTCTTATCTTGAAGCAAAACGGCACCATTTAGCAGTCAGGAACTGTAAAAAAAAAAAATCACTGGATTTACAACTTTCTGACAGTCCTTGAATTATTCATGTGACTTTCATGTTTATTGAGAGGAAAATAACCACAACCAAAGTTACATTTGTGACATTTCATCAACATTGCCTCCCAGTTTCTTTGATTAATTTTAATACTAGACCTTGTAGAGAAAAATGAAATCCTGTGCACCTCAGCACAACTGAGAAGCCGTGACTGATGACTTTTTGACATGAGTGTTATTCACAGCTGAATCAGACGGTTCAGGTTTTTCAACTGCTCACTGTTACCAATAAAAAAAGAAGAAAAAACAAGTAGTAAAACATCTATAGTATGCAGAACCACCATGTATTCTGGTATTGGTAATGCCTTTAGGCACTTTGAAAAAAATGAAAACAATTTTACTGTTTTTGTAAAACAAAAAGCTAAAGAAATTCAACTTTTTGTGATTTTATGTCATTGTTCAAAAGACATTTTTGAGTTCTCTCTAGTTCTAGTCAACTTGGAGTTCAGAGGGTTAAAAATATTGGCTAGTGGATTGTCTAGTTGTAATGCATTCTAGTTGAGGAAAACGCTGTGCAGATGCTTAAAAAAAAAAATGTATTCTGTAAGAAAAAACAAACATAAAAAACCCCAAACCCTAATTTCTCTTATGTTTGCATACAGTTTATCTAAACGTTCAGTCTATTACAAGCCTCACTGTGACTTATAGAATCTGTAGGTCAAAGATTCATGAACTATTCTGAGAGTTATTCTGGTAGTTTAATCGTAGCAACTGGACTTGCTTGAGTTCCTTGAAGACGTTCCACCTTCATCCAAGAGGCTTCATCAGTTCTGACTGACTAGTTGGGAGTTCCAGATACTTATATCCTGAAGGAGCCNGCTAGTGGATTGTCTAGTTGTAATGCATTCTAGTTGAGGAAAACGCTGTGCAGATGCTTAAAAAAAATAATGTATTCTGTAAGAAAAAACAAACAAAAAACCCCCAAACCCTAATTTCTCATTTCTCTAATGTCTGCATAGAGTTTATCTAAACGTTCAGTCTATTACAAGCCTCACTGTGACTTATAGAATCTGTAGGTCAAAGATTCACGAACTATTCTGAGAATTATTCTATCTTTATACGACTGCAAGTAACAATATTCACAATTGTCTGTGAAGATTCTCATTCATCCAGGTCATGGTTATTCTGGTAGATTAATCGTAGCAACTGGACTTGCTTGAGTTCCTTGAAGACGTTCCACCTCTCATCAAAGAGGCTTCATCAGTTCTGACTGACTAGTTGGGAGTTCCAGATACTTATATCCTAAAGGAGCCGTTATAGGTTTGTTGCTCCTCCACCTCGTTATGTGAGTCGTTAGTGCTCCACCTGTCACAGTGGGGTTTGTTAGGGTCTTTTGTGGCTAGGTGTGGTTTCATCTTCCTGGGGAGAGATCTTAGGACTGAGTTGTAAACAGGTGAGAGGTGATGCCTCAGACCTCCACCTCTGTTGAGGGATGGTCTTTCCAATTTGACACAGATGTCTTCTTTCACCCCTCTCTTAAACCATCTGTCCTCTCTGGCCAAAATCAAAAATCTGTACGTTGTTGTCTTCAAATGAGTGTCCTTTGTCCTTGAGATGCAGATGGACTGCTGAGTCCTGTCCTGAGGAGCTGCTCTTCTGTGCTGAGCCATGCGCTTGTGGAGCAGTTGTTTAGTCTCCCCGATGTACAGGTCTGGACATTCCTCACTGCACTGGACTGCGTACACCACGTTGCTTTGTGTCTCGGTGTCTTGTCCTTAGGGTGAACCAGCTTCTGTCTCAGGGTGCTGGTGGGTTTGACGTGTACTGAAATGTTGTGTTTGTTGAAAATCCTCCTGAGCTTTTCGTCTTTTTTCGTCAGGCAGGGGGAGCACTAACGACCCATATTACGAGGGGGAGGAGCAACAAACCCCCAAATTGAAACCAAAACTCAGGTGTTAACGGCTCCTTCAGGATATAAGTATCTGGAACTCCCAACTAGTCAGTCAGAACTGATGAATCCTCTTGGATGAGAGGTGGAACTCAAGCAAGTCCAGTTGCTACGATTAAATTACCAGAATAACCATGACCTGGAGGACTAAGAATCCTCACAGACAATTCTGAGAGCTAGTCTGCAAATATGCACTGATTTGATCTACAATGTGAGCATAGTTGTGAGTTGCTTGTTTAAAAATAACAGTTAATAGAAAGAGCTTTCTTGTGAGTGAATAAAATTGTGGTTACAAATTTAACAAACCACTTTAACCCTCCTATTATCTTTGGGGTCGATTTGACCCCAGTTAATCTTTAACGTCTCGAAATAAAAGATTTTTTTTTTTTAAAGGGCTATTTATAAATGAACTTGGGTAACAACTTTAATTTAATTTTCTGTAAGTTTAAATTGCTGGGGTCAGATTAAAGGATAAAAGATGTTACTAAACTGAAGATAATAGGAGGGTTAAATATTTAGGTTGCAATATTGTATTTTATATAATATAAGCTGTGATCAGATACAAAGAGAAGCAGATTCTTCTTGTTGCACATTTTATCACTGCTGCTGCATTTTAGAGTCTTGTGAGGCCGTGTGGAGCTGAAGAGTGTGAGCACAACGACACACACACACACACACACGTGAACAAGTGTTACAAATCATGTTGCCAGTTTCAGTCCAGCAGTCGATGCCAGACGTGGACTTTTGGTGGCAGCAACGTGCCAAGAAATGAATCCAGTCAGCAGAGAGGGAAGATTTCTTGCAACATGAATGTGAACAGTTTAGGTGAAATCAGTGTTTTAATGTGTCTGTCAGACTTCAGTGTTTTGTGTTGGGGAAATTACACCACCTTTTTTTTTTTTTTTTTTCATTTTGGCTCATTTTTCACTGCAACATAGAGTCGATGGAAACAGAACAACCACGACTAGAAGGAGAGAGAACTCAAATCTGTTGGGTAGTATGACACAGTTATAATGACATAAATCATTAAAAATAAGTTGAATTAGAATTTCTTTGACTACTTATAATATTAATTTTGAAAAAAACGTACTCATGTGGAGGGGAAAGTGAGTGTACATACTGTAGATATATGACTGTTTTTTTCTCTTTGCTCCGTGTAAATGACAAAACCTGCAGTTCAGTGTGACTGTCTGTATTAAATTCAATTCATAAAAGCCACTAATAACTTTTTGCATGTTATGACATAATCCCATTCAAGCAAAAGGCAGACTTTTGGCACATTTTTATGATGCATAAGTAGAAAAAAGGAATTTTTAAAATATCCGTTTACAGTTTCACCCAATAAAACACATCCAATATTCATAAAAGAACAAAGAACGGGAGTTGAGTTTCTTTATTTCTTTTACAAAAAACAAAACGGGGGCCATACATACTATACATATTTAACTACTTACATTTTTAAGTGATTTCCACACTTGTCAGCTGAACTGCAGGCAGTGTTTATAACAAAGCAGATGCGAAACTAGTTCCTGATTTGTTTGTCTTGTCAGCTGAATCACATTATGGCTTTGCACCAATTTATGCAGATTTTTTTAGTTTCTAAAAGAATCTGGTTGGAACAAATGGTTTATTTTTGGCAAGTTTTCAAATAGGACGTGAAAAATCCCAGTGGATGTTTGGTTAATTTTCCTGATAGAATGGCGCGTCCCAGGTGAGCAGTTCAAGAACCATCAAAATGTTAAAAATCCCAAGTTTCTCTTTCTTTACTGTTTCGAGCAGACAAATGGTATTTAGATTTTTTTATTAGCCAACGTGACTACCTTTTGAAAACACACTTGCACCCCACAAAAGCTCAGTTAATACAGGTTTAAAGGAACAGTTCACCAAAAAATGATGTCACTGTCTCTTGTCACGAGTGCTGGAGACACCAGAGCTGAACTGCAGAATCATTTAAACATTATTCTCACTGACAAAACAGGAGACGCCACTAAAGTTGACAGAACTACAACAAGGGGAGGTCAACACCGGAGCTACTCGGCGGCTCGGTGACACCACACTGCATCACATGACACACAGACAGGAAGGACGACCTACTGAGGAGTGGTTGAGGCAGGAGGAGGACGAGGGAGGAGGAGGAGGAGGAGGAGGAGGATGATGAAGGTTTACCTCGTCCGTCTCCGCGGTGCGGCGTGTGGACCACACAAACTCCATGATGGCCACGAAGACGGCGATGATGAGGCCGCAGATCAGGACCACGAAGATGCCGCCGATGTTCTCCATGCCGAGACCTGAAACACACGACGATACGGAGCAGATCGGTAATCAATCGTTTTGATCGGCTTCAACGTGCTGTTGGCTTTTGACAGTTATTCTACAAACGTCATTCTTGGATCATGTGTCTTTACACTCCATGTGAACAGAGCAGCTGGTTTTATTCTGCAGCTAAATCAACCCCTGATTGTAGTGAAACACCTTCTCCTCACTGCAGCGCCCCCTGGTCCTCATTTCACTTATTTCAGCCTCCTCAACGCCACAATCCTTCCTCCTCCGGCCCATCATCTGGAAATTGATCTAAGTGCATCATTACAAAGGACGTCTTGTTTCGTGAAATGCATCTCGAGGATCGAGGAGGCTGCTGGAAGAGGATTTCCTCCAAGTCTTTTCAGCACCCATGGTATAAAAAACACAGCTGGAATATACAAACCACGTCGACAGCACGACCAACAAATGCGGTAATATGACATTCAATATTAATGTCACTCTGTGCCACGACTACTTCATAAAAATACAAAATGAATTAAAAGTAAAAAAAAAAAATCTCAACTGTAACTCATCATGAACCCTGCTCTGCTCATCTGACACATTATAAAACACACTGTTTGGTTCTAAATAAACCCTGTGGACAGATGATGCAGCTGCGCTTCGTATTTAATTGACGTCTCTTTAAATTGACACTCAGAGGCGAGGATGTCTCATTTTGTCAGAAACCCTGTCGCCTGGACTCCTCTCTCCTCCGGTTTCTGGTGGGAGGGACAAAGACGTGAGGAGTCGACGAGAATGGAATCAAGGATGGACAGTCGGTCTCGGTGCACCGTCTCCGAG